CTTATAAGCCATTAGTGTTTAGAACACAGCACGGGTGCTTTTGTTGATCTTTGGATGATTGATCTTCAAAATGTAGATGATACTTGTTGGTTGAACAAACGAATGAAAAGCAATTGTAAATGGACAATAACTTTTGATGCTCATACCATATTTCGTGCTCAGTTTATCTATTTATTCTTTTAACTTTAATATTTGCTTGATAAAATGATAACAAATACTTGACAGTCCTAACAAACATTTTTCTTCTCTCTGATAACAATAAAACTTTAAAAAATCATATTCTTTTTTGAAGCACTTAGTAATAACAATATCTGTTCTGTATATAACTGTAATTAAGTTGTTAGCTGTAACAACTTCTCTTAAACATTTAGTTCTTTTTTCTTCTTGTCAAATTGTTCACTACTTATGAATACTCAAAACAGTAGCAGTGCAATAAAAGCAGTTCTACTGTCTTTATTACATTGATAATCAAAATTAAATCATTTGTTGATCACTTTAAACAAACCAATTTAAATAAGACGACGAGAAAAAAACAGTCAGAAACAAAGCTTAGACCTAGAAAATATGTTGATAGAAGATGGTTAAAAACAATTGCTAAGTTTGAGCACCAGAAATAGCAATAACAACAACCCAGCCTATGAATTTTGTGTTGATGTGTACCACTTGTTTGGCAATAAGCTCTATTTAGAGCTTCAATTAGGTTCCCAGTAGGCCTATCGACGAATTTTCAATGTTTCCGCTTATAGCTGCACCTCTACAGTACTTGCGAGTCTCCTAAAGATGATTAAAAAAGAAACAAACTTTTTCGAATATTTTTTTAATGTGTGTACTTGTTCAATCATTAAAGAAGTTGAAACTATTTGTAAACAAGGCTTTTGACCTGAAAAGTTACTGTTCATTGAAATATCAACAGCAATAACTTCTCGTATAAACCATTGAGTTTTCATCTGTCAGGCACTTTATCATACATAGTTTCTCCGCAGAAAAATTAGCATAAAAATCTTTTGAAGATATACAGTTGTATCTCGTTAAAATTTTTTAAAAAATTTTTAGTTGGTCATTGACGCTACAATGCCACTTGGGGGCACAGAAAATCTGATGGAAGAGGTAGCGATTTGGAAATCGCTATACACACCAACTGTACCTCGTCGTGACCCGTTCCCACCAATAAGTCATCACAATACAGCCTATTCAATGACTTATGCTGAAGGTGACACAGATACTACCAGAAGCGAACGTGACCGCCGAAGATTGGGCATGAAACTCAGCGTCAGTTTGAACTGTTTTGCGTATTAATTTGTAGCAAATTGGTGCCAGTTTTTCAAAATTAATAAAAAATAATTTGCAACTTATATTAATCATAATTCCTCACCAAATTTCAACAAAAAAATATATTACTGAAGGAATTCAACAGCAAAATTTGTACTGCTACGTAATTTGTATATGATATTGAATCTTGTAAACTGGATTTTCCTAAAGCCAGCTTCATATTTAGGGACAAACTTCTGTGACAAAGAACATAGAACGTCAACGGTTAAAGCGGAATGGCGAGGGCTATGGTGCTAACAACCATCTATCATCCCGGTTGGTTAATACAAATGGAAACATAAATTCCTACTACCCTTCGCAGACTCTAACTAAAACTTGGGATACGAACATGGGTAATAAAAATCTATGTTGCTTGCGAAGTAGCAATTGTAAATTATTTTTCAAAGGATAAATTATAAATAGTTTGCTGCTTAGATTGTTATTTCGACAGGAATCTTGCAGTTTTAGTCTTTTAGGTTACCCACCATCGCGTTTTGAGCGCATTGAGCGTTTCGATAGACCTGAATTTGGTGGTATGAGGCGAGCAAAAAGTGAAAGTGCTATGGCAATGGAGGATGAAACTCTTACAAGATGTTTAAAGCAGCAAGATGAGTTCCCAGATTGCCGACAGGTAGAGCTATCTTCAAAACTTAGTCGGAGCATCCACGACCTTTCGAGAGATCAAACACTCACAGAGGTACTGATTTATTTGGTTTTCATAAACCTTTACTTCTTTTTCTGTTTCGTAAACATGTTGCTAAAGCTACACGACTACATAATTCAGATAAGGCCAGGATCTGCAACAATGACCAGATCGCTTCGAAGAAACAATTCTCCTCCAAGGGCCAGATTTGCGGAGCCATTAGTAGATAATAAACCTGCAGCTATTCAAGGCTTTAGTTATCTATTTCCGAAGCAACCAGTAATAAGTAGCGTTTCTACGAGACAACGAGCTCGAACGCCTGATCCTTATGGCGAAAATGAAGGTGTCAGTTTTAACGGAACCCAGGTGCAAAGACCACCATCTGCACCAGCATTTGAGTCTCCCCGGTCCCCCGATTACTCTTCTAGTGCGTACCCAGTGCCGGCAAAAACAAATGACCATTTAGAAAAGGTTCAACAGTCATACGTTCTAGATACTTTCTTAGTTTGTCGTTCTGAAAAATTTTTTAACTTTGATAATAACAGTTAGCTACACTGTTTATTATTTCTTTTAGGTGGTGTACATTCCTATTAACACGCCAAATGATGGCCAGATTCGCACATTATTAAACACAAATGCAGACGGATCGACCAGCTTGCGAAGGTATGATTACAGACGAGCGCCAGACGGAGTGACAGACGATTACTCTCTTGAGAGTAGAAGTAGCAGTACTAGTCGACTAAGGAGTCCTGGAAGTTACACAGGAACGATCGGTGATGATGTAAAAGATGCTTTGAGCCAATTTGACTACCTCAACGACTATGACGTGGCAAGCATAAGAGGAATTTCAGGCACTAAATGTGCTTCAACTACATATCATTTTTAATTGTATAAAGGAAATTATTGTCGTAAGTAATTAGTTACTTAGTGCTATTTTTCTAAAAACGATAATAAAAGGTGAAATCTCCAATTATTTTTGAAACAGTTCGAATACCAGTATGAAGGGCA